CCCCCTCACAGAGGCTCCTCTCCCCCTCACAGAGGCTCCTCACCCCCTCACAACAAAGAGTTTCCAGAACAGAACGGGTCAAACTGAGAGAGTTCCTGGATCTTGTTCCGGAAGGATCTGGCTCAAATTAACCTCTGGTCCGCTGTGATTGGTTTATTTTTCTACCTGTTGTGATCGGTCAGAGATGCATGCTGGGAGTCAGGAAGTGATTTAGCACATATTTAGTCTCAGCTGTGTGGGTGCTCTGTGTCTGTACCTGTTGCAGCCTCATCAGTGCACGTGCACGCTACAGTTGTCCTTAGTTCAGAGAGAATGTTTGTTTCCTGTTGCTAAAGCATCGTCTCTAAGTCCATTTATTCATTATTGTGCATTATAGGCTCATGCTTTATGCTTTATTATGATAATGGATTTATGTGACTGTTCAGTTCTGTTTGTAAATTGCAACTCTTCTTGTTGTGTTTCAGTTTCACTAGTTTCTCATAAAACTGCACGGAAGTTAACTGCCAGTCTCCTGGAGTTTTTTTAGACTTTAAGCTGTTTTGGAACGCAGGACTTTACAGATTCTTGTGGCTCAACAGTACATGAGGATGAGAACTCACGTTGTACAGCAGCATATTCAAGGTGCTGATGAAGGTGCCGTTGCTCTCCTTCACTGAGATAGCAGCTGCTGACCTTCAATTAGGATAAAAAAAACACATTTCAAAGCAGGTTCTGGTACTTTTGGTCACATTTTAAACTTTTATAATGCATAAAAAAATTAAAAATCACTTCATTCCCTGAAGGTTTGAAATATATAATGTTAAGAGCTTGGGTCACTTTACATGATTCAACTTTAAATTCAACATTTGAAAACACACTGTCTTCAGTAATGAATGCTATTATTTTCTTAACTTTATACAGCTGTACCCATTTATTTTCTTCATTTATCAAAATGTTGTAAACATAACTTTAGAAAGCTCTGAAATATTTTCTTCAATAAAGTTCATTCATTCATTCAACCTTTATTTATACAGACTAGTCGTATTGAGTTATGAGGACCATTTTCAAGAGAGACCTGTTTACACAAACTACAGATAAGGGACACAGCAACAAAATGCATTTAAAATATAAAGTAATTAAAAGTACTGTGACATAAAACAAAATAAAATCAAGCTGCATTATGAAACAGTGAAGCTCAAATAAAAGAAACTATAAGCTTAGTTCTGTACAGTTTTCTAAAATCTTTCTTAATGTTTTAATTTAATGATTATGTTAATAAAAGTATCACATGGACAAAAATTATAACATGTGCCTTGATACATTAAGATTAGAGATTTACAACAAATTAGTGCCACTTAAAAATGGTTTAAAGAAGCATTTTAATTTTTTTGACATTTGAGACTAAATGTTTAGACAAAAGTTGAAAATTATTAAAAAAAATAAGTCAAAAGTATCAAATTTGTGGAGGAGCCAAGATGGCCGCACATCGTTAAGCTGCATTCTGCTAAGCTCCCTCCAGCCCCACCTGAAAAACTGCCTTTTATAATTATATTCTCGCTGCCACCCCTTGGATTCTTCCTCTGAGGTTGGTGCTGCAGGATTGATTGGATGGAGCTGAAATATGGCCTCTAAATTAAAACAAAATCTCAAACGGCGGGATCTTGGCCCACTTGGTCTGTTGACACAGCTACAGCCTGGGGCTGCGGCCACAGCAGGAGCGTTGGCCCCACCCTCAACGGCTCTGGAGTGATGGTTGAGTCGGCTCTGAAGTCAAACATTCTGGATTCAATTAAATCTGAAGCCATGACAGTAATTAAGATGGAGATGAAGGCGGCTCTGATGGACGATTTAAGTTTTATTAAGAGCGAGCTGCAGGCGGTCAGAGCAGAGGTTGACCAAGTCAAGCTAAGTGATACAACGTCTGAAAACGGGCTGTCTTTAAATCCTGATGCATGCTCAGGGGCTGTCTTTATGCTCAGGTGAGGTGGAGGTTCTACATAGGACCATGGTGGAATTGAAAGATGAGGTGGATGGGCTGAGAAAAAGCCTAGAATCCTTGGAAGGGAATATGAAATGTAACAATATTAGAATTATTGGCGTTCCTGGGCTCATGCACCCCTACAGTGTTAGCCGAGATGCTAACGGAGGTGCTGAAGCTGGGCAAGTCGCCACTGATCAACCAAGTGTACCGTACGCCAGGCAGGGGAGACTGATGATAAATCAAGACTTATCATGGCCAAGCTACATTATTGTTAAGATTGTGTGGAGATATTACAACGAGCATCAGCGGTGGCCCAATCCACTTCAAAGAATCATCCATGTTCTTCACACCAGATTATAGCACAAGCACGGCAAAGGCACGAGTGATTTTCACGTAGCTGAGGCGACTCCTGCGGAACCAAGCAGGTATCTGGTATGGACTTCTTTTTCCCGTACAACTTCGTATCATTTATGGAGGGACGGACTAGGTGTTTGTTGACTCCATTCAAGCTATGGCATACATCAAGAGGAGCCTCATTCCAGCAACAGGATCAAAATAAACCATAGGACCGGCATCCCTCTACAAGCATTTTATCTTAAGCTTGTGTTTGACTCAATATTCATTCAACCTTTATTTACACAGGTTAATCCCATTGATATACATTTGAAAAAAACAGAATTACATTTGAAAAAACAGAATCACATTAAGCCAAATAGGAAGGGTTGTACTTTTTTTACTTTATTAACAGCATAAAACCAAACAACAGTACATCCTGATGCATGCTCAATAATCCAGGTAGAAAATCTACAAAAGTTAAGTCAGGTCCTCTGGAGGCCTCCGGGTTCAACTGTCCCCCTCTTACAATGCTGTGATTGCTAGTATCACTCAGCCCTCTGTGAACAGTAAACAGCCATCAGGTGCTAATGATCCATTGTTAGGCTGATGGTCCTTCTTGAGCATGTGATCAGCTGGTTTTGGTTGTCAGCAGCAAACTGGTTGATCCACTCTGAGAAGGAGCTATTTAAGAGACTGAGCTGAATACAGCACCTCAGACTGAGGAAGTCCTCAGGATGAGAGACAAAACGTTTCTACGATTTTATTTATTTATTACTGTTGTTTTTTGAACATCCACAGGACCTGACAACTTTTTTAGAATATACAGTACACACATATTTCTGATGTGTGTACTGTGTTCTGTTGTTCAGTTTTATGCTGTTAATACAGTTTAAAAAAAAAAAAAAACTTCCTGTTTGGCTTAATGTGATTCTGTTTTTTTCTAATGTGATTCTGTTTTTTTCTAATGTGATTCTGTTTTTTCAAATGTTGTTCATTTACACCTTAGGGCCACCGTACATTGAGCCTTGGAGACTCATTTACAAGAGAGACCTGATTTTAACAAAGAGTGATGACAACAGTGGACAACAAAGACAATAATAGACAGTTATAAAGGATGAGTACAAATTGAGATTGCTTTTTAACATTTTTTATTTAAATTAACAAGTGAAAATAAAATGGCATTTAAAAGAAAATATAACCAAAAAATAGCTAGGTTGATGGACGGCAGCTCCCTCTGGCTTCTCTGCAGTCTTTTATCATCAAACTGACCCGTTTTTCGAACCGGACTAAAGTTGGTCCCCCTTCCAATTGAATTTGGTGTTCAGTGACTCAGAGAGCCGGACGGGACCGTCCAAAAAATATATTTTGGTCCAGGACCGGCCGCTCCCACCCCACCGGTCACTCTGAGCACACCCTGCCGGCCAGGTGACCCCTCGAGCTGGGGAGTCAACACACGAAGGTACGTTGTTTTTCCTCTCTCTCTCTGGACCCCAACAAATTCCTCATCTGGACTTTTGTGGTTCTACCTGGTTCCGACAAGAATCGCCGGGTGGTATTTTGCTGGTTTTCTGCTGGACTGGCCCTCGTGGTGTCTTCATAGGTGAGGGGGAAGTGTACCTGTGTCCCCCGAACTGGACCAGAACCGAATCGAGGTGGCTGTGGGGGACTTCGCCTTCAACAGAGCTGGTCTCAGCTTCAGTGAGCAGCCCGTTACTTTTAACCAAGGACTGTCCACCTCCGTGGAATCGCTGTGTTCACCTGGAGGAGACGCTCCGATGCTTTGAAGCACCGCCAAAACCGGACCAGAGATGAACCGGGCCAGTGACAACTTCAGCCTCTTCACCTCTTGTGCTGTGGAGCGCCAGAGCCAGACTGGAGCAGGACCGGACCAGTGATGACTTCAGCCTCAGCCTCTCTGGTCAGTCTCTTAGTTTTTCACCGGGGGTGCCTCTCGTGCTGTCGGGTGCGGAGGTGACATGCAGAGAAGCGGAGGAGCAGCGCTGTGTGGTGATCAAGAGAAGTTCGGAGTTTGTATTGGAGTTGCTGCAGGCCTCCATCCAAACTCACCTGGATAATAATTAATTTTATTCCGGATCACGCTGTTGGCCCCTGTTGACCTGAAACGAGCTAGAACCATGCCTTTCACTTCAGGAGGATTTTCTGGCAGCACGCTCTGCTATTTGTTGCAAATGATCTGTTTCTGCCTGTTGGTTCTGGACCCAGCTTCTGTTTCTCATGGGAGCATCCATCCATCTTCACAGGGGGGCTGGAGCCCCCCTCAGCCCAACTCAAACTGCAGTTGGGCCACCTCGTCTGATTTGTTTGCCCATTTGATGTGTGACGTTTTAGGGTCTGAGACTTTTCTGCATCATTCATATTACTGTCACTATTTTCAGTTCTCAGATTATCTGGAGTCACTGAATCTTGTTAATACACCTGGATCTGTCCATCACTGCAACTTTCACTGTTTTTGGGTCCTGAATGATCACGTCTTCATTAATGTTTCTCATGGTTCGATTATAGGGGCTAATTGTCACACTGTTAACTCCTGTAATTACACATCAGTCACAAAACACTCAAGAAAATGTCTGATAATAATGTTGTTACTGCTCTCAGGGATTCAGCCCAACCCTGGACCCCCTACTATTTACAGCACACCAAATGACTTTAAAAACATGTCAGGGCTTCATTTTCTGCATGTAAACACACGTAGCCTTCTGAGAAAACTTGATGCCTTGAAAATTCTGATCAGTTGTTCTGGGGCAGATGTAACCTTCATCTCTGAAACCTGGCTCAACAAATCTGTACTGAATAATGACCTTGTAATCAATGGATTTAACATCTTTCGCTGTGATCATCAAAAAAGGGGGGGTGGAGTCGCTATTTACATCAGAGATTCTCTGGTTTCTAGAAATGTGTCTGCTAAAACAATTCCAAACCAGTTTGAGGCCTTAGCTGTAAACATCACTTTGAATGGAATCTTATCTGTAGTGGGTTGTTATCGTCCCCCCTCAGCAACACCTGAGGCCCTGTTCTCCCTGATGGAATTCCTTGGAAATTAAAAATTCTAAGAGATTTTTTTGGCAGGAGATTTCAACATTGACTGGGGTAAGTCAACCCCCCTCTGTGATAAATTCAAGGAATGTTGCTTGTCTCTTAATCTTACCCACCTGATCAACTCTCCCACTAGATTAAACAAAACCCGTCCTAAAAAATCCTCCATCTTAGACCTGTTTCTAACTAAAATGACTCACAAATTCCCTGGTACAGGTGTATTCGCTGACATTTTGAGTGATCATTGTGTAATAGCGGCTCTCAGAGATATTAAACTTCCACCTTCTAAGCCCAGATTAATTCAAAAAAGGGATCTGAAACGTTTTTGTGAACAGTCATTCTCTGTGATCTGTCTCACTTTGACTGGCATCATATTCTATTAATTGATGACGTGAACTCCGCTTGGAACTATTTTCATAATAGTTTCATTTATTTTGTGAACAAACATGCTCCTTTTTGTCAGTTCAGAATAAAGGGACGAGACAGCCCCTGGTTTACTCCAGAGCTAGCTGACCTCCTGCACAGGAGAGATCATCTTTGGGCCACAGCGAGAAAATCTGACTCAGACACTGATTGGTTGAGTTTTCGACAGATGAGGAATAAATGCACAACTGCTGTCAAAGCAGCAAAATGCAATTATTTCTTATCTCAGACCTCCAAAAATCTAAATGACCCTAACAGATTCTGGAAAACCATCAATTCTCTCTCAGGCAGCCCCCAATCATCTGACCTCCCATCACAACTTCTCGTTAACTCTGTTCCTGTGTCAAATAAGCATGAGATCCTGAACTGTTTCAACAAACATTTTGTTGCTTCTGGTTCTTTATTTGACACAGTTACTAATGGAAAATCAGCCACTTCCCCTAATAACCAAACTTCTACAAATCAAATCCCTCCTACAAGTCAATCCTCAGTTAATCACACCTTCTCTTTTCTCCGTTCTCAGTCAGTGAGGTCAATAATCTGTTAAAAGATCTTGATCCTAAAAAATCTGCAGGTCCAGATGAACTTCCACCTTATTTCTTAAGGCTGGCTGCTCATATCATCACAGTCCCTGTGACCCACATCTTCAATCTCTCCACAAGACAAAACTCCATCCAGACACTTGAAAACAGCCTTTGTTCTTCCTTTGCTGAAGGGAGGTGACCCCACCTCACTGAACAACTATGGACCAATCTCTAAACTCTGCATTTTAGCCAAGGTTCTAGAAAAACGGATAAACTCTCAAATCAAAAATGACCTGGACTCATTTAACATCTTATCTCCACATTTATCTGGTTTCAGGAAACAACACAGTGCAACCACTGCTTCACTGAAGGTTCTTAATGACGTTGTTGAAGCACTGGATGCTAAGGATTATTGTGCTGCACTTTTCTTAGACCTGTCTAAAGCTTTTCACACTGTGGATCAGAACATCTTGTGTCAGAAGATCTCAGGAATTGGTTTCTCAGAACACACCATTGGTTGGTTTTCTAACTTGTCTCTAGATGTGAGTGAGAGAGTGAATGGTTGTTTGTCTTGTTTGTCTCTATGTGTCCCTGTGATGGACTTGCGACCTGTCCAGGGTGTACCCCACCCCTAGCACAGTGATAGCCGGACATAGGCACCGGTGACCCCCGTGACCCAAAATGGAAGAAGCGGGTAAAAGATAATGGATATTCTTTTAGCACAAATGTTAACTTAACAATGTAACTTACATCTAGAGGTATGCACACCGTTTTTTTTTTTCTGTACTCCGATGAAGACAGACGTGTTTTCCCAGTGCTCCGTATCCCCCCATCCCCACCCCGCTTCCCTGCTTGCACTTTTTCGTCCTGTTGAACCCTTAAAGAGCCTCTTTTTCTTCCTGCATACCTTCCTAATTCGAAGGATTTGATCAGCTGGTCTCTCAACAAAATTGAGCTCTAGGTGTGAGTGAGAGAGTGAATGGTTTTTTGTCTTGTTTGTCTATGTGTCCCTGTGATGGACTGGAGACCTGTCCAGGGTGTCCACTGCCTCTCGCACAGTGATTGCTGGACATGGGCACTGGTGACCCCCGCGACCCAAAAAGGAAGAAGCAGGTAAAGAATGGATGGATTCTGGTTTTATTTCCCCTATCAAATTGAAATAAATTTGTGACAGTTGTGAGAGTTTTATTTGTAAGACTCATTTAAAGCCACTCAAGTTGTACCAGCTCTCCTGTGACCCTGATAGAAAAGTGGGTAAAGATAATTGTAGTGAACTAAGCCTCAGGTCAAATCTGGCCCTGAGGGCCTTCTTGGGACAAGAACTGTCATTTCATTGATTTGAGTCCAGAAACACAAAATTAAGTTCATCCAGAGACTTTCTAAGTGTGTCCTGCACTGATCAATTGAAAGAACACTCTCTTTTTTATTATCATTACTATTTTACAAATGTCTTGATAATCAAAAGTGTGTTTAGTTCAAACCATTTTAAATGTTGAAGTGAACTACTCATTTTAAATCAACTGTGAAACAGTATAAATGATTTTTAATCCTCATTCAAAGTAGAAATCAAGTTAATGTTTGTTACAAGAGTAATTATGCATTTTGATTTTCTGTCTGAAATGAGCAAGTTGTAAGTCGGTCAAAAGTCAAGTTTCGGTCAACTACATGTTTATTGGAAATAAATGTCATGTTTAACTTTTTCAGACAGATAGGAGAGACCGACTCCAAAAAGTCTCTGTTTCTTCAAAACATCTTTATGTCTGTTTTTAAACAACCTAATCTTTCTCCTTGACTTTTAATAACCTCTTACATCACTAAGACCACACCCTGTTGGTTCGTTTCGACCAATCAGGAAGTTCTCATGAGGAGCCGGAAGTGACCTCTTTAAAAGGTTCAACACTTCCTAGTTCCAGGCAGAATGCAGATTGCAGAATGCTGGAATGCAGAATGCTGGAGAACAACGGGAACTAAGCTGAACAACGTTCCAGGGAGGACCTCGAACGAGAAGTCCCTGAACGAGAGAAGTTCAGAGGAACAATGAAGAAGTCTGTTCTGGGATGATCTCACGACTCCTGAGGTTTTAGCTGTTCTTACGGAGACGCTGGAAAGAGTTGAAAGGAAACTCTAGACCGACGCCGAAACTATCATCTGCAAAGGTAAAAGAGTCGATCTCAACCAAAGTGTACCGTGGGTTAAGCTGCGTCCAAAGGAGCGTGTTGTCGTTCTGGTCTACAGACCTACATCTTATACAGACACATATTCCCTCATCCATCTTTCCCTCTCCATTTAAACTCCTTCATTTCCCATCTTTAAAACTCTTAATTAACTCCAGTAATTAATCCAGATATTTTCAGAAATGTCTGTTGTAAAGCTGCAAGGAAACCATGGCCGTATGGTTCCCATTGTAAAGCTTGCTAATTAAGCTATGTGTTATTGTAATCATTTTGCCAAATTAATGTAAATGTTTGATGTTAAACTTTGATTCTGTTAATAAATGACCGCATTCATTTTGATGGGTCAAAGAAAATTGGTGTGAGTCCTCGGTGCCCGGGCCTCGGTGCCTGGACCTGGACCTACATCGGTGCGGCGGGTGCCGACGGAGGCCTATGAGTTTGTCGCTGTTGGCCCCGGGGGGTCACTGTATGTGGTTGCTGGTGGGGATCTTCCGGTTCTCCCCTGTGGTCCCTTCTGGGGGGTAGGTGAGTGGTTTGCCCTGTGTGGGTGGCTCTGGGGGCTCCGCGGTCGGGGTCCCTCCTGGGGTCTTGGGCTCTGGTCCCCCCTTTTTCGTCTGCCTCTGGTCTTGGGGGTCGGGTCTCTGCTGCTTCACAGTTACTAATAAATGTTCTATTAGAGAAGCCTTATACACTTATGCATGCTCACAACCACACACAAATAGAAGCAGGGATGTTTATGTAGGCTTTATATGTAGATATATAGATATGTATGTGAGTGTATATTCATGTGTATGTATGTATGTATGTATGTATGTATATAGGCATAGGTATGGGTATATATATTTATGGAAACTTACTGCAAAGCCATGAATATTTTAAGTTCTTTATACATATGTATTTTGTTGCTGTGTTTTGTCATGTTCTTTGCAGGTGAACAGACAGTGGCCGGGTGTTTTGACGTGTGCTCTATTTGTATATATTTCTTATATTTTGGAGTCTTACTTTGTCTTTTCTTTCTTTCTATCCTATTAAAAAAAAAAAAAAAAAAAAAAAAAAAAAAAAAAAAAACCTACACTAGAATGTCACTATAATAAATATTTCATAATAATGGTGTGGAGAGGATGGCTGTAAGGGGAGAAGGGAGGCCATCAAAAAAAGAAAAAAAAAATTAACGTCTCACGTCACATTTAATTATTCAATGCACGATAGAACTCAGTCCAGAAAAATGAAAGAATCCGTTTAATTTATGAATAATATCTCACAGATATATGTTCATTTACATAATGATGGATGGGACATCCACAATAAAAGACGATAAAATATAACGTAAAAAGCCAAACCATCCATCCATCCATTATCTTTACCCGCTTATTCCATTTTGGGTCACGGGGGTCGCTGGTGCCCATGTCCAGCAATCACTGTGCGAGGGGCGGGGGACACCCTGGACGGGTCGCAAGTCCATCACAGGGACACAGAGACAAACGAGACAAACAACCATTACTCTCGCACTCACACCTAGAGACAATTTAGAGTTACCAATCAGCCTAACATGCATGTTTTTGGTCTGTGGGAGGAAACCGGAGCACCCAGAGAAAACCCACGCATGCACGGAGAGAACATGCAAACTCCACCCAGAAAGGCCCCTGGACCGAGGTTTGAACCAGGGACCTGCTCGCTGAGAGGCAGCAGCTCTACCAGTTGCACCACTGTGCTGCCCAAAGCCAAACCAATTATTTTCAATTAAAAGCCAAGTGCAAAATGTGTCTATTTGGGGTGCCACACTTGATTAACTGTGAAAGTTTGTCTTTGTGGGGAAGGAACAATTTGCTCTACAGATGAGTGAAGACTTACGAAGCCAGCTGAGTGTTGTTGACCAGATATTCCAGAGGGTAACTGCAGCTGAACCTGTACAGGAGGCCTGGCAGGTAGCTGATGATGGTAGGTGGGTCAGGTGTGTCAATGTAGCCTGATATGTTTCCAATCTGCACCAGAGACTGGTTCCCATAAGCATTGGGTCCATGAGCTGTGGAGACCTGCAGCAGAACAATCTGACAGTGAGTCACCATCACTCTGCTGTTTTTTTAGGGACAAACATTAACATCCAAACTGAGACTGGCTGATCGTTCATCTTTAAGTTTTAATTTCTTAATGGTAAATGGACTGCACTTATACACAGCGCCTTTCTATCTTATCAGTGATTAGTGGTTATAGCAGTCATCCCCCAATGCAAGAGTTGGAGGGTTGATTCCTCCAGCAGTCACATGCTGAAGGGTTCCTGGGCAAGACACTTAACCTCTCATTGCCTCTGATGTGTGTCCCATCGGTGTATGAATGTGATAAAGCACTGATTAGTCTTTGTACAGACATAGTAGAATGTTGCATGAATTGGTAAATAAGGGCAGAGATTGTGTTGTAAAGAGCTTCAATTATCTTGATAAGACAGAAAAGCGCTATATAAGTACAGTCCATTTATTATTTACTATCAGCATACTCAAAGCTCTTTAAAACACAGTCTGTGCCCTCATTTACCCATTCATACAGCACTACTAGATCTGTACTCTACTAGATCTCTACAAAGACAAATCACAGCTTTAGATCACATTCATACACTGATGGGACACACATCAGAGGCAGTGAGGGGTTCACTGTCTTGCCCAGGGACACTTCAACATGTGACTCCTGGTGGAATTGAATCCCCAGTTCTCCCATTGGAGGATGATTGCTCTAACCACTCAGCCACAACTGCCCCCAGTAACCAAACAAAACATTATAAACAGAACAGTCATATTCTGGAGGATTCTTTGTTCCTGCAGGAACTTAAGTATAATAAATAGATTTAACCACAAATAAAAAAATTGGTTAGTTAGCTTAAATAAACAATATCACTACTGGATACTACTTAACAGTGATGCTCTGAAACACAAGTATTAAAAGAGTACCAGTGCATGGGCATTGAGGTTTCCTGTTCTAAATTTTTGTCCAATATACCTCATAGAGCTTTTTTTTTTTTAAAGGGGGGGGGTTAAATACAACAAAAAAGTGGCCATCTGCTTCGATCGGCTGGGTTTGAGAGGACAGGAAGGAGAAACAAACAAACACAGAATGACAGGTCTAGATGTACGGTACTTTCTATTAGGGATGCACTGATCCACTTTTCTTTTTTTTTTTTTACTTCCGATCCCGATACCTAAGTCTAAATATCGGCCGATACCGATCCAGTTCCGATATCATGATCATCAATGATTTTATACGAGGCTGTAATAATCTCCTCTCAAGTACAATTTGTACAAATATATGCACGCATGTCCAAAAAGGCAACTTGAGGTAAGTTTTATTAATGTTGGATAAGTTTTAAAGTTAGAATTAAATCCTGCTAACACAAAACATGTTTGTTTTATTCCTAGCTTTAAAGTGGATATTAAAGTGATTAATTTAAGTGATTGTTTGTTTAAAGTTACTTTATATATTTTTTAAATAAGGGGCAGATATGAGATTTTTTTTCTTCTTTCTGCACTCTTTTCATTCAATGTTTTTTTTTTATTTTTTATGAATTTGTTGTTTATTTTTGTTTCTTTTAAATGAATGAATAAAAGAATTAAATAAAATAAAATGTTAAATGGGCAGCATGGTGGCGCAACTGGTAGAGCTGCTGCCTCTCAGCGAGCAGGTCCTTGGTTCAAACCCCGGTCCAGGGGCCTTTCTGGGTGGAGTTTGCATGTTCTCTCCGTGCATGCGTGGGTTTTCTCCGGGTACTCCGGTTTCCTCCCACAGTCCAAAAACATGCATGTTAGGCTGATTGGTAACTCTAAATTGTCCCTAGGTGAGAGTGAGAGAGTGAATGTTTGTTTGTCTCGTTTGTCTCTATGTGTCCCTGTGATGGACTTGCGACCCGTCCAGGGTGTACCCCGCCCCTCGCACAGTGATTGCTGGACATGGGCACCAGCGACCCCCGTGACCCAAAATGGAATAAGCGGGTAAAGAAAATGGATGGATGGATGGATGAAAATGTTAAATGGCTTTAAACATCTGCTAAGTTCATGGCATAAACCAACAGACGCTGAAGCCATGGAGCTCGAATGTCCATCGTAAAACTAACTTTACTGTGGTTTAATGTGGCGCTGTGGCTCTGCAGACAGTGCACGTTGCTGTCTTGTTTTGTGGTGTTTAGTGTAAAATACTTCCACACAGCGACATGTTTAGATGAAAAGTTTGTTAGCTGTTAGCTACAGTGCTGCTAACAGTCCTCACGTTGTAGCTGCTGCAAACTATGAACTAGATTTCCTGAATGTTTGGCGGGTCTTATTACTCTGGGCTCATGAGACACGCCTCCGTTCAGGAAATCCATTCCATAGTTTGAAGCCAACATGCATCATGGATCGGAATCTCTGCAGGTTGGATCGGAAAAATCCGATACGTAAATTATGCTGGTATCGGAGGCCGATATCAGTTCGGATCGGCCCCTTCCCTACTTTCTATAGGAGGACAGACAAAGTAGCACTTTACATGTCTGAAATGTCTCTCCAATACATTTTATGGATTTCACATAAACACAGTTTAAAGGGGATGAGGATGCCCGTTGGTCATTGCTGCGGTCATGTATACAAATTATTCATAAAAATATTTTTGTTTTATTTCACCCAGTGTCTCACTGTTACAGGACTTACAGTTTTCTCACAAAATGTAGAGTGTGTGACGGAGGACTTTTTCCACAGGCCTCCAAGCTCCACACTTCTACTAAACAAGTACAAAGTTCACACCTACCATTGTCTGTTCATGAGTAGAACAGTTGTTTGTGTGACTAAAAAGATAACACCACACCCTCTGCATCCTTCTGTGGAAAATCACTTAACATGCTTGTAAATGGTAAATGAACTGTACTTATATAGCGCCTTTCTATCTTATTGAGATACTCAAAACGCTTTACTTTACAATCTGTGTCCTCATTTACCCATTCATACAGCTCTATACTAGATCTCTACAAAGCTAATTGAACAAATCATTCTAAAGAGACTAATGAGTGTTTTAGATCACATTCATACACTGATGGGACACACATCAGAGGCTATGAGGGGTTCAGTGTCTTGCCCAGGGACACTTCGGCATGTGACTGCTGGAGGATTCGAACCCCCAACTCTTGCATTGGAGGACGACTGCTCTAACCACTCAGCCACAGCTGCTTATGTAACTGGTTTGAGGTCAAAGGTGTACTTTTCAAAAGTGCTTAAGTACTGGCTTGACTTTTTATCTGCACACTCTTATACAGACCATTCGTTCAGTCACTCTGTATGATTTGTGCCTTTATTGCAATAAATAACTTAAAGATCATTTTGTGAAGACAAGATTTTAATCATGCATTTCTGCTGCATTTCCACGACAAACTTTGATGACGAGGATGGGATCACCGTTTGTCCGTCGAACTGGGTCTATCATCACCGGTGACCGATCATCGGGACCCAAACGAGGGGTCTCCTTCCAACCTCTAGACCTCAAACTATGAGTGAGTGAAGACTGATGAGCTGATCGACCACACGTTTATCCCTGGACTTTTCCATGCTGCAGAAATACGTAAATTGTTTGCTGTTAATTTTTGAAAATGATTCAGTCGACATTTTGTTATCATTATAGTACAAAAATAATAATAATAAAAAGGGAACTTTGGGGAGAAACACAGTCAAACTAGGTCCAGGGGCTGGTTGGGAGCGATTAGATAATTTCAGGCGTACGGAATACAGAATTGTTCTCCTGAAGAGAGGATTTTACGTCCTCGGGAAGTTTTTTCATGAACTTCCAGGTACTGGCCAGGAAGTGGGCACGTGTCCCATAGTTTAGTCATAAACTATTTAAATTTGCCTAGACAGAGTGATGGGCAAGGGCCAGAGTAAAAACTGTGGACCTTCCAAGGAACCTTGTATAAAAGTAATGTTAAAAAATACGGAGAACTGTCCATAGAATGTCTTCACGAATGGGCTGAGTTGGGATTCCCAGAGGGTGGGTCTTTTTTTTTTAATCAAATCCAAAAATTGGAAAATAAATTACAAGAAAAACAACAGGAGTTAAAAAAGAAAAAGAAAATAAAGACTGCTGATCTTGAAAAAACTGATAAACCTTTAAAGTGTCTGAAGATGTGGAACGAGGAAGTTGAAAAGAGAGAGAGAGGAAAAGACTACAGCGTGAGTTCTGCATGTTGCAGCCTGATGCAGGGCCTGAGACACAGAAAAAAACAAATTAAGCAAGACAAACAAAGTAGAACAGACTGACACCGTTGTTTCTTCTTCTTCTTTATACCCCTCTCTGACAAGGATGGATGACCCTCTTCTCTCCTTGTGCCCACCTCCCCCATACCGGTCAACATCTCAGCTGCTGAACACTTCACAAAGATTGTCTGACCCAAAACTCAGGGGCCCAGAGGGCAAAGCCTCATTCTCACCTCCTCCTGTGCTGTTATTGCCTCATTCAACCCTAGTCCAGATTCCTGACCTCACCGCCATGGGAGCAACAGGGTTTTCTCCAGGAAACCACTTCCAACTACCAGTGTCAAGCCCCACCAGCTTCCCTGGTTTCAGCACTTATTCTCCCATCGCCAACTGCCTCAGATCCAATGACCCTGATAGCACAATCCTCCAGGCTACTATGGTTTAAGTCATAGGCACTAACGGCCTGGCCCTGGTCTTCAGGCCATGGCCAATGGAGGACATGAAAGCGGCTATGAAGCATCTCCCCAAGGCTGAGAATGACGGGGAAAAGTTTGTCGTTATCCTCACAGACTTCTGCAGAGAGGTCATTCCGGCATGGCCAGAGCTCATACGCCTCCTCACTGTACATTTGGGACCAACAAATTTCTACAACATTAGGGCAAGCCTGAAAGGTAATCATGCCTGTCAAAATCCAAGGCTTGACAATGCTGATAATGATTACTACCGTCATGTGCTGACTGTCCTATGCAACACCCTGAAGGCCACCTTCCCCAGATGAGTGAACATGGACAAAATATAAATATGTAAACAAAGTCCCGATGAACCAGTAGATGACTACT